GAAGTTGGGCACCGAGTCGCTGATGAACGTCACGTTCCCATAGACGTGCTGCGGGAAGGCCTTGTCTGCCGACTCGCTACCTCCGGGCCCCGGGGCACCGGCCGAAGCGATCTGCGATGTGCGCACGTGGTAGGGGAAGTTCTTGTTGGCCGCCGAGGGGCGTGTCATGATCTGGGCGAGGGGCCAGGTGCAGGTTGAAGACGCACTCACTGTCCAGGCCTCAGGTTGTCTCCATAGACATGGAGCCCTAAGGATTCCCCTGCACTTGGAAACCCCCACGCCTCCCTGCAACCCTCACGCGGGATTAGGCGCCTCCTGTGGGCTCTCAAGTGCCCTGGGCTCTGACCTTTTTCCTCCTCCACAACTCATTACTCTGCCAATGCTTCTTCCATCAGAGCCCTGATCGCTGAGTTAGTTATCACTAGTTAAGCTTCAGCGTCTTGCGTTGTGCAGTACGATAGCCATTAGCCACATGTGGCTATTTAAATTTAAGTTAATAAAAGTTAAACTAAATTTTTTGTTTCTCAGTCACACTAGCCATATTTAAGTGCTCAATGGCCACATATGGATAGTAGCTGTCTTATTGAACATCAAAAATTCATAGAATATTTTCATAAACACAGAAAATTCAATTGAACTAGCAGCTTCTAGAATGTTAGCTCCATGAGGGTAGGAACTTGACTGTTCTGTTCCCTGCTGAATCCCCAATACCTTCTACAACAGTGCCTGGCACATATAAGCTCTCAATAATATTGGTTGAATGTAGAGATGTCTCCCCAATTAATCTAGTACTGTGGTCGGCAAACTGCAGCTTGCGAGCCACATGCGGCTCTTTGGCCCCTTGAGTGTGGCTCTTCCTAAGCCTTAGGAGTACCCTAATTAAGTTAATAACAATGTACCTACCTATATAGTTTAAGTTTAAAAAATTTGGCTCTCAAAAGAAATTTCAATCGTCGTACTGTTGATATTTGGCTCTGTTGACTAATGAGTTTGCCGACCACTGGGCTAGTAGAAAGGCAGTGCCTGGGAATGAATCTAGTACTGCACCCAAGAAGCCAGCATGACCCCTGTAAGGTTGTGCTGAATAAATTAATAAGAAGCTGAAGCCAATCAGCAGTGGAATGTCTGTGGTAGAGCTGTGCTGAGCTAACATGAGCATTTTTAGGAATGAAACTGGCTGAAGGTGAAATACAGAAAGGGCACAGTGTTTGGTGTTTTGAGCCTGCACCCCACCTCTCAGCCCCACAGATCACTAAGTGTAGGATCTGGGGCATGTTGATTAAACTCCCCACGCCTCACTGGGGAAAGGGATTACAGTGCCTACTCAGAAAGATGAGAAAAGAGTGGAAATGAAAACTGGTGCAGAGCCTGGCCCATGGTGGTTTCTCATCACTTCTCTCTGCCCCGTTCTGACTTCCTGCAGAGCCTAAAGATGGACCATCCCAGGAAGGGGAGACTGCACCTGAGTCAGGCTTTGGAGTAGCAACTAGGGGACCTGGCCCCCTCCTTCAGCTGAGTACCTTTCCTACACAGCACATGGTAGACCCCTGGGGTCAGGAGCTGGGGCCCTCAGTGATGCCTATTTCCCTCTCACGCCAGCTCTTGTGGTCTGCCGGAGAAGGACCAGGTTCAAAGCCCCTGCCCTGCCACCAAAGGACTTGGAGCCCTGGCCGGTCACCTGCCTTCTCTGGGACTTAGCTTCCCTTCTCTGTATATTGGGCTCAATGACGATTATCCATTCTGTCCTGGGGCTGCTCTGACACTTAGAAAAAGAGGTTAGGAATAAATGCATCTGGGTGTTCCTAGCATGAAACAAAGGCTGTCTTCAGCCAAAAAGGTGTCTCTCTCAGCCTCAGTTTCCCCCTCTGTGAAGTGGGGTGATCATGAGGCTGAGAGAGACACCTTTTGAGACAGGTGCTCACTGAATGGTAGATGGTGGATAGTGGCTGGATTGATGAATTAATGTAAGACCTGTCACCTAGAAGTCTGGATAGGATATAAAACAGAAAAGAAGAAGTTTGCTGCTGGTACCCTCTTGATGTCATTCTGATCTAGGCCCCTGGAGCCCCAGCCTGGTCCACCCCAGCTGCTTCTTTCCAAACAATGGCCTGTGATAGAGTGACAGATACCAGAGATTGTGTGGGTGAAGGGTGGAGTAGAGACCAAGAGGATTGGGAGAGGCAGTGGGGATACAGAAGAGAAATTCGAGTCTGGGGACACAAGAGAAGGAATGGGAATGGGGAGGAGGGCAAAGAGAGAGGGTGGGTTGGGCGAAGAGCCCAGACACAAGGTGGGAGAGGGGAACAGAAGAGAGCAGAGTCTGAGGGACACAGTAGAGTAGCCTGCAGGAACCTAGCAGACTCTCAATCAGTGTCTATTAAATGACTGAAGGAATGAAGTGAAAGAGATGGATCAAAAGTTGAGGCAGATCGGGGTGGGAGTCTCACTGCCTATTGGCTTCCCACCCCACCGGGTGCTCATCCTCACCAGGAACACGCCGTGAGCGTACAAATGGATTCCCAGCTGGATGCCGTTGACGATCTTCTCCCGAGCCCACTTGGGGATCCCAAAGTTGGCAATCAGAGCCACGACAGGAACTGCAAAGAACCTTAGAAGGAGGAATTGGATTGGTAGAGACACTGCCACACGCCCTCCACCCACCCCTACCCCCAGCTCCCCTGCCGGACACACACACAGGCCCCAGGCGGGCCCCCAACTGGAGGGAAGTTGTGTGACCTTCAAAAACCAGAGGTTAAAAGGGGCAAGATTTCCACTGGCCTGGGAAATTCTGGGGGGCAAGGACTAGGTTGAGTTGAACTCAGTTCCACCCCACCCCACATCCCAGTACCCGGTAGAAAAATCAATAACTATTTGATGAATGAATTAACATATGATAATAACAACTAAGGACCTACTGCATGCCAGATCTGTTTCTAAGCATTTTACATTTATGAATTCATTGAACTCTCACAGTGGCTCTATGAGGCAGTACCATTTCCACCTCCATTAAACAAATGAGGAAAATGAGGCAAAAGTTAATTGACTTGTGTGAGGTTACACGGGGACATATCGAAGGCCCAGCACATCTCACCAGAGGGTGTAGGCAGCAAAGAAGGGCACATAAAAGGGCTGCTTCTCCGGGAAATGGCGCAAAGAGACAAGCACGGCGTAGCAGAACCACACGTAAGCCACCACCTGTAGCCCGATGAGCCCGTAGCCTGCCGGCGACTCATACGTGTACAGTACCTGGCCCGGGTCAAAGAACTGACCCAAGGGAGAGGGTTTGTCATAGCCCTGGCCTCCACATAGGAACCCCAGACCACACCCCTGGGCACCCAGGGGACAGAGTTACTTGGTCAGGACAGAAGCAGCAGAACAAGGGATGGGGACAGAACATATAGAGATAAAGAGAGGGTGACAAAGACAGGAAGAGACTACATCTACCATGGGCCCAACAGGTAAACACTGCCATGTGGAAGCTTTCCATTTTTCAACTCTATGAGGTAGGTCTTATGATCACCCCACTTCACAGAGGGGGAAACTGAGGCTGAAAGAGAGACCTTTTGGCTGAAGCCAAAGCCAAGGTAATATAAAGCCTTAGAGCAGTGGTTCTCAACCTTCCTAATGCCGCGACCCTTTAATACAGTTCCTCATGTTGTGGTGACCCCCAACCATAAAATTATTTTCATTGCTACTTCATAACTTTAATGTTGCTACTGTTATGAATTGTAATGTAAATATCTGATATGCAGGATGTATCTAGGCAACCCCTGTGAAAGGGTCGTTCGACCCCCAAAGGGGTCGCGACCCACAGGTTGAGAACT